TTCAGATCACTGTGGGAAATGTGAAACATGGAAATGACCTCTTCTCACTCAAGGAACTTTTCCTAGTGCCACAGGAATCTCCCATTAATGGCTTCCATGTAATTTACCAATAGCATTGTTTAGGAAATACAATAAGATGAGAAGAATGGATTCTTTTTTTTTTTTTAAAGATTTTATTTATTTATTTTTCCCCCAAAGCCCCAGTACGTAGTTGTCTGTCATAGCTGCACATCCTTCTAGTTGCTGTATGTGGGATGCGGCCTCAGCATGGCTGGAGGAGTGGTGCCTCGGTGCGCACCCGGGATCCGAACCCGGGCCGCCGGCAGCGGAGCGCACGCACCTAACCGCTAAGCCACGGGGCCGGCCCCAGAATGGATTCTTAAAGTCTATGAAAAACCTGGAAAAATCATCCTGAAAAACCTGGAAAAATCATCCACTACTTATTTAATTTTTTGATACAAAAAAGAGTTCTTTTCTTGAATGATCTGATTTATACTTATGCAAAAGTTCCCTTATGAAAGTTAAATAATTCTTCCATCAGGGTATAGAAGTTAGTGCATAGTCAAATTGTTACGCAGTTTATTTCTTCTTTTCTAAAAATTTAAGGCCTAAAATATTTCCTTAAAATTTCTATGTGTATTTCCTAAGATAAAAGATTACTCCGAATTTTTTTTTATCACAATTTTTAAATCTACAAGTTCTCTTTTGTGCAAAATTATTTTACGTTTTTTATTTAGTTATCTTTTCATCTGCTTCCTCTGATAGGAATTCAGTGTGAGAAAGGATTTTTAAGATAATTTGATACCCTCCCCCTTGACTGAGAGGAGGGCTAAGGCCCACAGAGGTTCAATTACGTACAGCCGAGGAATACGACAGCCAAGCTAAAAATAACCCAGGCTAGAGTAGTTTATTGCTTCTTTAGACTCATTTCTTTTCAGTTTTATACTCATAAACCAGAAGGAGAACTCTTTAACATTAAACAGTAGTTTGACTTAAGAGAAGTGCTTAAATATCGTCTTTTGTCAGGACGTCCCAGTAATTCTTCTACTAAGATGATGCTACAGCAGTGGCCTAGCGCTGTGTGGTTGGGGTATGCCTACAGAACCCTGATGGTTATTTTGACAGCTTGGCCACAACTCAAATGAAGCCTGAGGCAGAGAACCAAAATGTCTTAATGTATATATTCACTTATAGGCAGCACTTGCACTGAACATCATTTTTTTAATTTCCAAAAGGATCACAGACTTTTACAGGTTAGGTTTAAAAGTAAGAAAGTAATCTAGAATTTCGGACTTTCCTTCTGAACGGTGGAAAGGACCCAACTGAACCATTCAGGTGCAGAATGGATACATCTTCAAGAAAAAGGGAGGCTTTATTTGAATTACATTTTTTAGGTCACCAGGATTACCTTCAGTACCCTTATCTGTCAGAGTATAAGGTTCTTGAGGGCAAGAGAACTTTCTCCTTTTTTGTTTCCTCAATGCCTACCAGAGTTCCTGGCATAAAGCCAGCACTCAGCAAATTATGTTTCAACTGATGTTAAGAACAGATGGGACGGGTCTCCAGAGACTGGGAGTGGCTGTAACCAATGCTCCATGAGAAAGTAGCTCTGTGCTGACCCTGAAACGCCCCAGATACCCACAGAGTTCTACGGTTATTTACACAACCAAGTTATTACCTTGTAAGGTAAAGTTAATACTTTGGTTATTCTTGGTTATTCACTTTAATAAAGAGATAAAAATAATAAATAATTTTGAATCTCCCAAAGGCCCCAGGGCTTTACATCTGAGGAAGAAAACAGTCTCTACATGGGGACTTGGGTTTGTAAATATGAAAGAAAATATTGTTGGAATTGAATATAACTGAGTGCAGCAAAAATTTACTTTATGCTCTTCAGATTTCTAAGAAAAAAAGGGGAGAGAAAAATAAAATAAATAAAACTAAAGGTAAAAACTCTCAGACTTCCCAGCTCCATTTCTAGCAATAGGTCAAAAACCGAGCCTTCAAGGGCTTCGAGATTTCTTATGAGAAACTGGAGTAAGAAAAATACAGTGACTCATCTCATAATAATGCCCTTTCTTCCCAAAGTACACATCACAGTTCCCACATTCCTGGCACATGGGCACTCGGCACGGAGCTATTGCAACACGGAACATCTCCCTGCACCAACATCCCTCGGTGGACCAGAGACATGCCGACAGCGACAGGGGAACAGACACCCCTGGTGCTAGGGGGATTGGGGAGTGGCATGGCTGCACTCGTCCTGCCCCCAGAGGCGGGCGATTACTCCCTTTGTACTGTTGATCTGGAACAGCAGTTCTTCTGTGCAGCCACCTTCAAGAAGCGGGGAGCTAAGTACAGCTAGCTGCCTTGTGTACAGGCTGAAAGAATCCCCTGGCAGAGCAGTTCCAAATAGGCACTCCCAGATTTCCCAACCAATTGTCATTTAGATACTGAGGACCCAAAAAGAAAAAAAAAAAGTCGAAGGAAAGGGAATCTGCAACTTAAGGCTACAGCAGGAATAAGGCACCCAGGCTGTTGCTCAGGTACCAGCTCTCTCTCCCGTCACTTCTGTGGCGGTGGAAGAGTGAGTTCAGTAAACAGTTATACGAAAATAAGTGAAGGTCATTATCAAAGAAGCATCTCCAACATAGCTCCTCAAGAAGCCAATTTCCCAGGCCTTGCCCAGTCAGATGTTCCTTGAGAATAATTACCAAGAGAAAATGAGATGGATCCTGCCCTTCAGCAAACATCAGTGTAAACTGATAAAAGAACTCAAAGCCTTAAGGAAGTTCAGGAATACTCAGGAGAGCCAGACAGCATGGTCTGGGCGTCTGAAGGATATATCAGGGAGAAGGAATGCCTTCTTACAGGCAGAAGACAATTTTGGGAGGGAAGGACTGTTACTTGATCCTTAAATAGCTGAGACAGGAGGGCTTTGCAGAGGTCAACCATCAGTGAGGATAAAGCGCCAAGGCACTTGTGGTGGAAGGACTGCGTCATTGGCTTCATGGACAATTTGCAGGAGAGAGGATATTTTACTCTTTGCTTGACCCGGATATTTTACTGTTTCTGGGGATAACAAGCTTGAGGAAGTGGTGAACTGCAGGCCTGTGAGGAGGGGAGGTGCCGAGGTGAGCTGGCCAAGCAGAAGGGGTGCACAGAGCCTGTGTCCAGGAATGGAGCTATTCAGCGGCGTCAGGCTTGAGCTGACTGGTGTGCGCATGTGGCTGGGAAAGTGTGTATGTGAAGGGATGGTCAGAGGTGGGGAAAAAGGGCAGCATCTAAAGAGAGTCATTCAAAACAATGAAAGATCCTCATGATATAAATGGCATTTTCTTTATAAGCTAACTTGGTTAACTCTGATAGTGTTATCACTAGCTGTCTGAACATTTTGAAGATAAGAAAACTGAACTGGCTCATGTAAAAAGGCTCAGACCAGTCAACTTTTCAGTATGAAAATTCTTAACATTTAGGAAGTCCTCCAGATTATAGGATTTATATGACAGCAGCTATAGAAAACTTACATCTGTATAAATACAGTGCCCCTAAGGAGGATAATATTTCATTCGTACTGGGATGTTTTAATTCACTATTAATAATTTAAAATATTAATATTACATATCATATAAGATCTAATTTTTTCTGTATTCCATCTGAAAGCCACAATACTTTCTGGTACAGTTAATTGTTGCTTTCTTAAACCACAGATTCAATTTCTTCACGAGAATCAGTTAAGCTCTATTACATTATAGTTGTGTGCCAAGAGCATTACTACTTCAGGATTTATTAATTAACTAAGATAACTCAACATCCTGAAAATATTTCAAAGAATAAACTTTTAATACTTTCCACCAAATTTGCTTCATTTATTTCACTTAATGTGTATACTTAGATTTTATTGATAGATGAAGAAATACAGGTCATACTGGCTTTTCTGAAGGGCTATCTCCACTCTACATGAAGGCATCTACATTTCAATATGAGTTCTCTGCTCTTCACTTTTCCTGGGTCTCTATTCACTATTCCAATCTCTAAAACACTCTTCCTATGTATTTACTTAAGATGAGATAAGAAGCTGGTTTTTACACCATGTGGGCCAAATTTCAAATTTCATATGGATTAAAAAATAATAAACATAAGGGGTAATCTAATATTCCCATAAATTATTCTAGAAGCATAATAATCACATCATACTTCATGTCCAGGTTTAATGTCTACTAGATTTTTTTTTTTCCTCTTTGTTAAAAGTCTCAAGTCAGATGTCCAAAAATATGAAAAAAAATTTGTATGGACTTAAGTTCAGATAGATTAGACTGTGACTGCAGCAAGATATACACACACACACACACACACACACACACACACACACACACACACACACAAAACAAGGAGACTCTCTCACATGTATATGTTAAACTTAAAAGACAAAGCTGCAAGCTGCAACATTATGAGTGAGTTTTCTATATCTAACTGTCTGAACAGAGAACTCCAATGAAACAGAAACAGGACCTCTTGAAGCTCAAGACAGCCTGAGAAAAGAGAGAGAACATGAACCCTATCAGTTAAGAAATAACACACTGGGGAAAAGTACTGGTTCTCATGAAAATGTCAGTGATTCACCATGGAATAAAATTCAAAAGCCACTGACCCCAATGAAAGCTTCCAGTGGAAATATGTGTATTTTGCTCCATTTCATTTAAAGGCTTCGCTTTATTTCATTTAAATACTATCATAAGCACCATCATAGTTTTTGTGATATGTGCTTTCTCATTTTAAATTGATATGGAAAGATACTGCTAAGCAAACTAAATTTTCAAGGGGTCTTCAGAAAAAAAAAGATAATCAATAATATCATGCAAAATAGGTAGGACATTTTGGTCCCTTAAAACATGAATTGAGTGCTCAATAGCTAAATGACAACAGAAAATTCTTTTTTCTATTTTTTACAATAACTCATCATTTAAGCAGATTTGTTTATAGAATTTTTTCATACATACCAATTCTTCATTCTGATTTGCCAAAAGATCACAATTGTATGCAAGCTGACTTACACAGACAACAAATCTGTCAGGAAATACACGTAGTTCTGTACAAAATGAAGAAAATCACATTACTAAAGGCATCAAAAAACTATGAACACAGAAATGCTTGGTCCCAGATTTTTAAGTTAGAGCAATAAGCATGTATGTATAAGATGTGTCTCTTCTCCCCTCCCCTCATTTTGGTGTTTGCCATCAACAGGGCGGGGCAAGCGCAAAGCTCTAGGGAAAGCCCAGAAGGCTGCAAACTGGTCCAGCTGAGCCCCTGGACCATTGAATCACATGAAACCCCAGGCAGGACCCTTGTAGCTTTCCCTGTGTCAGTTTGCTGCTTTCTGTTCAGAACTCACATATGGGAAATGGTATCAATGTTTTTTAATGAGTGTGCAGACTTACATTGGAGAAGGAAGAATCTGAGATAAAATCTGAAAATGTGACTTGTCACTGTTCTTACTGGTTAGTTTATTTATCATCTTTTTGGTCAATTGGTCCTAGAGAGGTCCCCTAAACTGAGTGCAAACTCCTAATCTGAATCAGGCCATGGAAACAGCAGTGTCATTAACCAGAAATTAATGATCAAAATATTAAGGAATGTTTAAATATGCAATAGGAAAGATGATACAACTACATCACCTTCATAGTGACCTATTATTACAACTTCTTAAAGCAAAACCACTGACTTCCAGGTGGGGAAGGCTGAAAGAATCACAGAACTGGACTCCTCAACATTCAATGAAAGGAACAGAAAATGGTAAATGCCATCTGTATCTCTCCTTCTCTCATCTGTCTATCCATCCATCCATTCATTCACCCAGCCTTCACCCGTTTCTGGAGTGATGTCTGGAGTGATGTTTAGCTGATGCTAACTAACACTGTATTTTCTGATATAATAGGGGTGGGTGGGGAGGGTCTTCTCCTCTCTTCTTTATACTTGGTTATATTGCTTGAATAGTTTTATAATATACATGTATCATATTTATAACAGAAATAAAGCCATTTTTACAAAAGAGAAAATCTCCCTCTTAGATGGGAGAATTTTTTTTTTAAAGATGGATATTATGAATCAGTCCATTGCACATTTCCAACAATGACTGACAAGGTGAGGGCACTGACTGAGGTAACAAGATGCACTTAGAAGCCAAGCGTGAAGGTGTCAATTACACAGACACACAACTTAAACACAGTTAACACCTTATACCACTTGGCTAGGTTAAACTATATCAAAAGGTTTAATGAGTTGATGTTCCAGTAACAGCTCTCTCCTTACCTCTCACTGCTGTTTCCTTGGTGATCACTCTTTCCTATCCCAGTTCATACTACTCAGTACAAGCAGATTAACAGTTCCAAAAAGCAGCTCCACTTACCCTGCTCAAAAGCCTGTCGTGGCTCCTCAGTGCCCATCACGTGACATGCAAACATTCAAAGCCCTCTGTGACTGGGGCCTAGCCTGTTACTCTGGTCTTATTACCCCTACTAGTCCTCATGCAGAAACCCCATTTCAGAGAGCTTGGGTGTGTTTAAACTTTGACCCCTCATGGATGTTATACCTGGCTAGGTGACTAGGGATGAACTTTGAAAAGCCAGAAAAACAAAATTATCAAAGCAGTTAATATTTATTCACGAATTTTTAAAATATCTTATTGAGATAAGTGGTAAGTAGTCTGCTTCCTCCTTTATGGACAGGGAAACTGAGCCACAGAATTCATTATTTGCTACCCACCCCCCCCTAAAAAATACCATAACATTGAAATATAAATCGCTGGTGGATCAGAATTAGAATTCAAAGTTATCAGTTCCATCAAATAATTCCTCTGCTTTGTCCTTCCATTTCTTCCTCTGAAAAATAAGAATGCTAGAATGGCAGCTTTTGAACATTTTGGTATAAGGTATTGTATAAACAGAAAGCAACTTCTGTACCCCTTTACTCTGCTTAGGCCATAAATGAGATTTCTATTATTTAAATAAAGTAAAGATATAGGCAACAGCAATCTCTACCTCAAAGGGTAGCTAGGCTGCATTTTAATAGATGTGAGTTTAACTGGCTTATTTTACTAAGAGAATGGAATAAAGTGGAAGGCCCCATTAAGAGAGTAATATATTCGAGTGACACCCAAAGTTAAGAAAGTGCAGATAATTGTGAAGATTCCAAGAGCAAACCTCTGTACAGTTCATTTTTAAAGTCCCTGTTTCATATCTTATATATTAAAATTGTCCAAGGAAGTTGAGTTAGATTTTCTTTCCAATGCTCGATGAACTTGGAGAATGGTCATTAGCATCTGACTTTATTGTTCTTGGCTGGACATGTTTGACATCATCGCCTCGGTGGACATCTTGAACTGGGGAAATCCGGGGGGAAGCTGGCCATGTCACACACCTAGGAAAGGCTTTGACAGCTCTGGGCTGGGAAAGGATTTTCTCGTGCACACACTTGCTCTGTATCCCAGGGCCTTGGTGTGCACAGACAATGATGAAGTGATTCATAGTTTAACTGCCTGTCAAGTCACTCTGGAAGCTCAAAAAAAGTGCTGAGCAGAAGCACGAGAGTAAAGCGTGGCCCAGCTCACTGTTCTCAGGCAGACAGCAAACAGTGAAAATTGAAAAAAAAAAAAAATCACAAATGTTTGGAAATATTCTTAAATAGTACTTCAATTTCATGAAGGCAATGAAGCAAGTAGGAATATTCATTCCTTAAATTTCATTCCCTCTCTAGGGCAAGCTAATTGTGCAAAATACCTGATGAACCAAGACATCAGTTTCTTACCAGCATTCTCTGAGCCTCCGAAGCAGCGAAGGCGTATCCCTCTCTTGAGGAAATAGGCTGTGATTTGAAAGCCATACCCTGTAAAGTGAAAGAGGACATTATTAGATTATAAGCTTGTTTGCCACTGAATCTCACAGGCCCAGCCCAGTGCCTGCCATCCAGTATGCATTCAATAATTATTTAGCAAACAAAAGAGTAGAAGAATCAATAGTGGGCCTCACTTGAGAGGAAGGGGAGAACACTACAATCAGCTCTTCCAGGAGGCTGGGCCATAGCACCTGGGATGGTCTCTAGTCCCTGAAGTGGCTCAGTCCCTTCATCTGTAAAATGGAATAGAAGAGGAGATCTGACTAACAGGCCTGAAAATCAGGCCTCTCAGATGGGATGATTAGTTCCAGCTGAGCTGGTGCATAGATCTTAGCCACCATCTGATACTCATTACTTATCAGCTCAAAAAAGAATCATTTAATACTTATTTGAAGATGTATTTTGCCTTTATAGAAATTATTGTAATTCAAGTACAGTAAAGCCTTTATATAGAATGAGATGAAAAGAAATTATATGAGCCCCTCCCAAAAGAAAAGAAAAGAAAAGAAAAGAAAAGAAATTCTCCAATTCACCAGACCGGCCCAAATGAAACAGACCAAGAGCACAGAGTGTTGGCAAGAATGCGGGCAAACTGGAATTCTCATACACTGCTGGCAGGAGTACAAATTGGTACAGCCACTGCTTGAGTATCTAAAGCTGAACTTAAGTATGAGTATATAGTGTTCATAATACCACTTTTCATAACAGTCCCAATCTGGAACCAATGCACATGTCCAGCAACCAAAATATTTTTATAAAAAAAAGGTGGTGGGGGGGGTATAATCACACAGTGAAATACTACATTGCCCCTGAAAATGTAGATTGCCCTGGGATACAGAGCAAGTGTGTGCACGAGAAAATACAGGCCACATCAGAAATAAATTTCACAAACATAATGTTAAGTGAAAGAAGCCTGGTTCACAGGAGTACATTCCATCTACGAAAATGGAGACATTACCATTCATCTCATAGGGTGGGAACAGAATTTCAGGTGCTTCACAGAAAGTACCAGCATAGTTAGGCAGCCCTGGTGGTCTAGCGGTTAAGGTTTGGTGCTCTCACCACCCAGCCTGAGTCTAAGACAGACTAGGAAGAAGGATCTGGCCACCCACTTCTGAAAAAAGTGGTCAAGAAAACCCTATGAATAGCAGCGGAGCACTGTGTGATATAGCACTGGAAGGTGAGAGGATGGCACAAAACGACCAGGCAGGGCTCCACTCTGCTGTGCACAGGATCGCTAGGAGTTGGAATCAACTGGCCAGCACTAACAACAACAAACCAGCGTAGTTCCTTCCTTCCTTCCCTTCTAGCCTACCCCCTGGGTATAAACTACTCTCCTGGTGACTTTCCTGAAAAGATTACGTAAAAATGTTCCCGTTAACACAGTCAAGTACTTGGTCAAAGAATCAGAAGTGAAAGGCCCACCAAAGGGGGGTGAGGGACCCCAGCTTCTCAGACAACCTCAGAGACAGTATTTTATCCATGATATCGGAGGGGCCATGATTTACAAGAGGTGGTCTCCAGGACCATCAGACTCTCCAAAGTCCATGACTATGATTGTTTTGAAATAATTTGTATATAAAGAGCACAATTAAAGAAGTTTCCACTTTCACATTCAGTATCTTTCCAACACTCCTGTAGAAAGATTCAGAATATGAGTGACCCCAGATTTGATGCCCTGTCTACACAAGTTACAGCTCCGACAGCAAAACTGTTTTAGTCATGGGGATTGTGAAATAACAGTGACATCTATGATAGGATAATCTCCAGATTTACTGAGATGAAATATATCTTTTCCTAACACACTTGAAATGGACTGCATTTTGGTTATGTGGCTTTCTTCTGCTTAAAATGTCAAACAAAACATGCACACCATGGACATTATTCTGAGTGCTTTAAAACAAATACTTCATTCCTTAGGTCTCTGAGAGAGTGGAAGTGACTTCCACATCTGTTTATTTGTCCTACTGCGGGGGGAGGGGAATTTTAAGAGAGGAGTCCTGAACAATTTGGGATTCACAAACACACAGAAAAATTTAAAAGTGATTTTCAAAGTAATGATTTATAATGAGTTTTCAAAAGGACTGAACAAAAAAAAATGCAACATCTAAGTCATTCTGCCTTTGCTGGTGGATCACACAGAACACATAGCTCTCAGTGATTAAGATTCAGATGGCATGTTCAAAATTTCAAAAATCTTTTCCCTGTACAGTATCTCCAGTAATAAAATATTATTATTAGGAAGGGGCTAAATCTGAAGTCGACTATGAAAGCTACAGCTCTGAGTTCAGGAAGCCTGGTATCTACAGATACCACTTGAGTGATAACTAAATCCTACTTGGTCAGCTAAACAACAAAGTCTCAGTATGACACCTTCCCCTATAGAACACTAAGACAGTATAAGGCAATTCTTACTAAGTGATTTATTACTGAAATTACTAGGAGAATTGAGTTTATTGAAACCTGTCCTGCTATATTCCCCACCCCCAGGATAGGATTATGCCAAAGGGAATTATTCCTAAATTGGTGTCTTGTTATGGTTTCAAGGGAAAACTCTGCCTAATGGCACCTATAGGAGAAATGGCAAGTTTAACATGTAAAAAAATATTTGCACCTGCTTAGTTCAAATTCCACTGGCCATAGAAAACTTTATTGTTTAAAAAGAAACTTAAAGAGATAGTAAACACAAAAGGTACTCCTGTCAGTTCTCATGGCAAACTAATTTTGATATACAGGCATACCCCAGAGATATTGTGGGTTCAGTTCCAGGCCACTGCAATAAAGCAAATACCGCAATAAAGTGAGTCACAAATTTTTCGGTTTCCTGGTGCATATAAAAGTTATGTTTACACTATACTGTAGTTTATTCAGTGTGCAATAGCATTAAATCTAAAAAAACAATGTATACACCTTAATTAAAAAAATACTTTACTGCTAAAAAATGCTAATCATCATCTGAGCCTTCAGCAAGTTGGAATCTTTTTGCTGATGGAGGGTCTTGCCTTGATGTAGATGGCTGCTGACTGATCAGGGTGGTGGTTGCTGAAGGCTGGGGTAGCTGTGCTAATTTCTTAAAATAAGACAACAATGAAGTCTGCTGCATCAATTGAGTCTTCCTTTCATGAACGATTTCTCTGTAGCATATGATGTTGTTTGATAGCATTTTACCCACAGAACTTCAAATTTGGAGTCAATCCTCTTAAACCCTGCTGCTGTTGTATCAAGTAAGTTTATGTAATATTCTAAATCCTTTGTTGTCATTTCAACAATCTTTACAGCATCTTTACCAGGAGTAGATTCCATCTCAAGAAACCACTTTCTTTGCTCATCCATAAGAAACAACTTCTCATCCGTTAAAGCTTATCATGAGATTGTAGCAATTCAGTCACATCTTCAGACTCTACTTTTAATTCTAGTTCTCTTGCTATTTCCACAACTGCAGTTACTTCCTTCACTAAAGTCTTGAACCCCTCAAAGTCATCCATAAGGGTTGGAATCAACTTCTTCCAAACTCCTGTTAATGTTGATATTTTGACCTCTTCCCATGAATCACAAATATTCGTGTGTGTGTGTGTGTGTGTGTGTGTGTGTGTGTGTGTGTAAGATCAGCCCTGAGCTAACACCCATGCCAGTCCTCCTCTTTTTGCTGAGGAAGACCGGCCCTGAGTTAACATTTATTGCCAATCCTCCTCCTTTTTTTTTTTTTCCCTTTTTCTCCCCAAAGCCCCAGTAGATAGTTGTATGTCGTAGCTGCACATCCTTCTAGTTGCTGTATGTGGGACACGGCCTCAGCATGGCCAGACACGTGGTGTGTCGGAGCGCGCCAGGGATCTGAACCCGGGCCGCCAGTAGCGGAGCGCATGTACTTAACCGCTAAGCCATGGGGCCGGCCCCCACAAATATTCTTAATGGCATCTAGGATGGCTTTTCAGAAGTTTTTCAATTGACTTTCCCCAGATCCAGCAGAGGAATCACTATCTATGGCAGCGATAGCCTTACAAAATGTATTTCTTAAATAATAAGACTTAAAAGTTGAAATTACTCCTTGATCCATGGGCTGCGGAATGGATGTCACGTTAGCAGGCATGATAACAACATTTATCTCATTGTACACGTCCATCAGAGCTCTTGAGTGACCAGGTGTATTGTCAATGAGCAGCAATATTCTGAAAGGAATCTTTTTTCCTGAGCAGCAGGTCTCAACAGTGGGCTTAAAATATTCAGTAAACCATGTTGTAAACAGATGTGCTTTGTTGTTCCATTTATAGAGCACAGGCAGAGTAGATTTAGCATAATTCTTAAGGGCTCTAGAATTTTCAGAATGGTAAATGAGTATTTGCTTCAACTTAAAGTCACCAGCTGCATTAGCTCACAACAGGAGAGTCGGCCTGTCCTTTGCGGGTTTAAAGCCAGGCACTGACTTCTCCTCTCTAGCTGTGCAAGTCCTAGATGGCATCTTCTTCCAATATAAGACTGTTTTGTCTGCACTGAAAATCTGTTGTTTAGTGTAGCCACCTTCATTAGTTATCTTAGCCAGATCTTCTGGATAACTTGTTGCAGCTTCTACATTAGCACTTGCTGCTTCACTGTGCACTTATATTTATGGACATGGCTTCTTTCCTTAAACCTCATGAACCAACCTCTGCTAACTTCAAACTTGTCTTCTGCAGCTTCCTCTCCTCTCTCAGCCTTCAGAGAATTGAAAAGAGTTAGGGCCTTGCTCTGGATTAGGTTTTGGCTTAAGGGAATGTTGTGGCTACTTTGATCTTCTACCCAGACCACTAAAACTTTCTCCATATCATCAGTAAGGCTGTTTCGCTTTCTTATCATTCATGTGTTCACTGTAGTAGCAATTTTAATTTCCTTCCAGAACTTTTTCCGTTGCATTCACAACTTGGCTGTCTGGTGCAGAGGCCTAGCTTATGGCCTATCTCAGCTCCGGACATGCCTTCCTCTCTAACCTCAATCATTTCTAGCTTTTGATTTAAAGT